AGTGTGAAGGATGTAGTGGCATGTTATTTTCCACTTGTAGCTAGCTCAGTTCCCTAACTTTGACTTGGTTTAAATTCTAGGTTAATATTACTGAGGTATGTTTGTCTAGGACTCGTATTTGAAATTTTGACAAGTTTCAGAGACATTGGAACTGAATATCTGTTGGTGAGCTGATTATAGGTCTTTCCCTCATTTAATGTTCATAGTCTTATACAGGATTTGTCAGACATGTGGACAGTATGTGTATTCACTGAACGTGTCTTGTGCAGTTATGTCACAGGTGTGTCTAGTCAGGACAACACTATCAAGTGAATAATTGACATAGGAACTCTTTCATACCTTTCTACATGACAAACACACCTTGTCCTTTTAAAAATGAATGTTACAACCCATTCTGTTTGATCAAAGGTTTATGTTTTTTTTTTTTATGTCGCTAAAGATGATGTGTTTGCGTATGTGAGCACAAAAGACTTCATTGAACAGATTAGATCTTTACATTGGTAACTGCTTTTGTTGCAAGGGCTTCCTGTCTGCTAACTGTATGTATGGCAAGGAAGTGATTCTTCTCTCACCAGAAACAAGAAAAACACATACTAGACAAACTTTAAGCCTTTCCCACTTAATGTTCAGACTGTGAGGTGCCTAAATATATACACTGCAAGGAATAGGCATTTCTGGGACTTACAACCTTTGCTCTGTTGGTGCTTTACTGCCTGAAGACTTTCATGCTGTTTGCCTGTATAGGGCAATCTCAACTCTTACCCAAAGGGCAAATCATTATGTTCAGAAATAGGAGTTTTTACAGCTGGTATATGTGAATAGTCAAAGTATATATGTAAAGCTATTTTACAAGAGCTGTTTTATGCAATCAGGATAACTGTGGAAGACAGAGACAAGAACACTAGAAATCTTGGCTAACTAGCAGGTATTGTATAAGAATATAGCAAAACATAGTAAGCTTTTAGCAGTTTGGTTTTTCACATTGGTCAGTAACCCACTTGCAGGTTTACCCCAAGTTGAACAAATGACGCATCAGCTGCTGTCCTGCTCAGTGGGAGAGAGGGGATCTTAGCAGACAGTTCCTCTTTCTCTTCTCTTAAAGGAGGGCCACCCTGTAATGGAGTGTTAACTGCACCTTAACCATCATTAGCTCCTTCGCTACATGGCCAAAGTGTGATAGGCCTTATCAGAATATGTATTTTTGGTGAGACAATGAAGTGATCCTTGTTTCAGCTCAGTGTGTCTTGGTTTTGTATCAGTGCTTTCTATATCAACGGCAGTGTCATTTCAGGAAAAAAATCTTACACACATCAGCAAAAAGATTCCTCACAGCTGCAGTGATCAGCAAAAAAAAGAGCTTAAGACTTTGTATTGCACAAGGGTGAGCGATGAGGAAATCCACGTGTTAGCTTATGTGAAGGCATAAGCCTGCATTAGCCATAGCAGTCCTGTGGCAAGGCTTTGGCAGCACTGAGATTGTTCTAACGTTTTTAGCTGCAGTATTACGGGATTGTTTTATGTTAGAAAATATATACTATTCCTCTTTGGTTCTTGTCTTCCAAACCTGTCTTCTATTTCCACAGAAGTAATGATCTTGTGACAGAATCATGGATTTTAATATACATGTTTTTTTCTCTATATGCTAATCTTGACATAGCTTCATTTTTCTCTAGATTCTGTTCTCGCTCTTCCTTTGTAGATTTTCTTTTAGTTGGTCAAAGCTACTGAATTTAGTTCCAGTTAAGTGAAGTGCTTGTAGGAAAAAACCTGCCAATAGTTTTGTTTCTGTTGTAGAGGTGGTGTAACAAGACACATGACTCAGGCAAATAAGAATTCCTACCCTGAAGGCTTTAAAGGGTATAAAACAAACAAGGTTAGGAAAGAGAATTAAATGCCAAATCTTGAGTGAGCTGTTGCACACACCTTCATACAAATCCTAGTTGTCAGCAGATACCTGAAGTTAGGAATAACAAAAGCAGACTTGGAGGAAGAAAGAGTATTGGGGGACAAAATAAGCTGGGTTGAGAGTTACTGTGGTTGTTCTTTCCTGGGTAGAGTAGAGGAGGGCAAGAAACAGTCAAGGTCAGCAGTAACAAAATTGTATAGAACTGCAGCCATGTGCTGCTAATTGAGGTGCAGGCATTTGAACAATGACAGGGTCTGTAGTTACGGGTAATTAAGTGTACCTCTGAACTTCAGACCATGAGGCAAATCGTGATGATTCTTATTGCAAAAGTGCCTGTGTGTGAACGTATCAGATTTGATTAGATTTGAATGATTCAATTGATTTGAATCAAATCAAATCATCAAAATGCCTGAGTAGTCAAAGTAATGTTTATGCTTCTGAACAAGCCATACTTTGAAAGGTATTCCAGGAAGAAATGGGAACGATGATTAGGATATATGGAATAAGAAATCAAAAAGCTATGTAGTCATCATCAAAATGACATTTTACATCCTTGAACCAATTGTCAACATATTACTCAGTTTTATCCTTTAGCTGGGAGGGCTGAGAATGAACACGACATATTTTCAAACAGGCAGATGGATGTCATAATAATAGCTGTAGTATTCTTATTTTTTCCACTGACATTTGTTCAGAATGATTTGCTTTCTGAAATACATGTGCAACTAGTGTCCTGTCTGTGTAAAAATATAAATGAAAAGACTCAATTTGGAGTTGAATGTTATTTTCTGGGTCAGAAGTGTTCTTTAAATCCACTTCTTATGGCCAAATGAGTCATGAAGACATCTGCTTTGATATTTGTCCTGCTATTTTACATGTTTATGCTTTCTGATTATTGAATCATATTTGCAATTGATTATTATGATAATTTATGTTAATTTCCACAGTAATAACTGAACTTTCTGTTGTAAAGCAAACCAAATAATCTTACAAGCTCATAGGCCACGTGTCTTTTTGGAGACTTAGCTCTACTGCACCAGTAACAGAAAATCAGGCAGTATGTCATTGCAAATGAATTTGGCACAAAATAGATGGAAGAGTAAACAAGGAGAACAGGTAACAACTGGTGAGCTGCCTTTGCTTTCGCTTTCCTTTGTGGCTTTGGGCACACTCGTTTGTAGAAACTGTGTAGATCCCTCTCTCCTAATTAGTTTAATTTTTTGGAGATGCCTCATTATAACCCTCAAGCTTTTAAGCTCTGAAACAGCAGAGTTTAGTTTCTGGAAGGTTCAAAATCTGTAGTCTAATTAAAAGTGTGAAATCTGATGGCTTATGATGTATATGTGACACTAGATGTACGTTATGACTATGATGTGGTAAAATACGATATGACTGTAAATGATAAAATACATATTTAGTAATTAACCATCTTTAAAGTGTTTCTTTGAAATATTGAGAGGAAAATAAATCAGAAGGCGTCTGACTAAACAGATTGAGGATTTCATTTTGCATTATCTAAAAGAATACAGTCTCTGTTTTACTGTGGAAAAAGCTAGAAGATTCATGAGTGATGTAATGAGTTTCAGTGAATGATTGTACTCCCATTTCAGTAGAAGCTTCTTTTTACTGATTGACAAGAATCTGTATCATTTTCACATCTTTATTCTTCCACTTGAGGGATGTCAAGTCAGGTTTTCTGCACTGTAGTATATAGGTGTTGGCTTTATAATAAAGGAAGATTGTGAATATTCCCCTCCAGAAAGGTGTGCCTCCAACTGCATGAGCAAAACCTTGTATGTTTGTATGTTACTAGATGCATACCATATATATGTAGTTTTGGTGATTGCGTACTGATCTCGCAAAATCCCCATACTCAGGCTTTTTGTTCTCTTAGTTGACAAGTTTATTGTTGGAACAAAATCTGTTGTAAAATTATTGTTACCCCAAAAAAGCACCAAAACTTCTGTTTTTCCCCCTGCTAGATCAGCTGCTTTATTCTAATTGACCCAGACTTTTTAATTTTTCTATTCTACAGTAAATGGCTGCAGTATACACTGAAGGTTTAATGAGGGGCAGGGCAAATGAATGGTAGTGCATTCTGGTAATTATGTAGGGCCTGTTCTTTATGCAGCCGATAACCTAGTAATTTGCGATTTAAGCTGCTTCAGACTGTTTCTTGAATAGATTGTTTCTTACATGAGCTTGTATAAAATGGGCCTTATTCAGAATTACTGCTAATTATCAGTATATTCTTGTGCTGATAAATGTTATGAGCAGTAACTTGCTTTTGGAAGGCATGGGAGAATTTCCTGGAGACTTGAGAAGGTGGCTCTTTTCCAAATGGAAAAAGAAGCAGAGGAAAAAGTTTTATTTCATTTCTGTGTTCTTAGGTACTGTTAAATACAGTTGCTAATGGAGAAATTTAGATTGAAACTGCTTTGGGTTTTTTCATGTACAGCCTGCACTCTTAGATAACTCCAGGTTTTGGGGAGGGAACGAACTATAGTATCAGTTAAAAGTTGAGTTGGATCAAGCGTATTCTGGAGTAAGTATCTCTTCATATTGCCCTTAGCAAGAGCCCACACTGCATTAATAACACATGCAACTCTGTTACTAGATCATTCCTGACTTACATGTGTAAGTACAATAATTTGATTAATTTTTTTAGTACTGCAATAAATCTATGTTCATGCTTAGAACTTACAGATTGGTTTTACAGCTCTTGCTTTTCAGTATCACCCCACTTTGCTTCTATCTGGTCTTTCTTCCTTTTCAACATTGTAATTACTTAATTCTGTCCTTCTTATGGTTTTGGTTGTTCAGGTTGTTTCTTTTTTTCTTCTAAAGGTAGAAGTTCCTTTCTAAGCTTAAGTTATACTGAAATTTGTCTCTAGCTCTGTGTGTTGTTTTTTTCTATTTATTTTAACTATCCGTGAATTTGTGGTAAGAGAACATACGAAGCAACAAAAGGGAATTTCTCAATTTACATTTGTAAATCATAGGGTAAAAATGTGAAAAGAAGGTTTGGCAAGAAAGTCATGGGATAAAAAATTTTATAATTATGTCAGCTGTCTATATTTTGTTTTAGATTGTGATTTGGAGCCGTGGAGAATTCACAGTCTTTCCACGATGGGAGAAAGGACAGATTGTACAAAGTCACACAGTTCACTGGCTGAATACAGCCCTGTCAATAAATCAGACAGGACAGATCCAAGTGATGGCTGTGCAATGCAAGATGGAAACCAGAATATAATGCAACTGAAGAAAGAAATATCTTTGATAAATGGGATAAGCCTTATAGTAGGCAACATGATTGGTTCAGGTATCTTTGTCTCTCCCAAAGGAGTTCTCATCTACAGCAAATCTTATGGATTGTCTCTAATAATTTGGGCAATTGGAGGGATTTTTTCAGTCTTTGGAGCTCTCTGCTATGCTGAACTTGGAACCACTATTACAAAGTCAGGAGCCAGCTACGCATATATCTTGGAGTCTTTTGGGAGCTTCATTGCTTTTATTCGTTTGTGGACCTCACTCCTAATTGTTGAGCCAACTAGTCAGGCGATTATTGCCATCACCTTTGCAAACTACATCGTTCAACCTTTCTTCCCTTCTTGTGATCCTCCATATTTGGCTTGCCGTCTCATAGCAGCTGCTTGTGAATGTAAGTATTTCTTGAAACTTCTTATGGTAATTTTTTATCCAAGGTTAAGGTTTATTAAAACTAATGCTACCAAGTCCCAGAGTTGTTGCATACTGAATCTGCAATGGTATGAATTACAGTGGAGAAAAGAACAATTTCCAGCACTTGCAGGTATTCAGTCAGTGAATTACCATTTTCTCGTTCAGAAGCAGGGGAAGGTATTTACCTCTTCCAAGTTTACTTACATGGGAAAACTGTGGGAAGAATTTGTTTTCCCTCAGGTATATTAAATGAAACCTCAAGGTACTCTTGGTGTGGTCTAACAGTTGTAGAATAGCTCTTAATGCTGTAAATTCTGATGTAATTTATTTTATAATAGCTTCTCAAAGTAGACATGCTTAAGTAATTACTCTGGTAGGGTTTCAAAAGATCATTCATTCAAGATTATACTCAAGATTAACTGTAACATCAGTACAATAGTACCTGTGGTGGTAAAGCTGCTTTGAAAAGTAGAAATTTTGTGTGCACATAAAACACTGAAATGTTTGTGATCAGATAGCCAGCTTTGTTAGTCAATATAGAGGAACAACTGCCCACGTGCTTCAAATCAGGACTGTTCTGCTGTACCAACAGAATGAAACTGTATGATTGTAATGTTTGTGTCTTATTTAATTTCAGGTATTTCCTGTTAGAAATGTTCGTATTCATATTTTACATTTCCAGTAAACAGTGAAAAATATATTTCATAAAGTCTGTATGGCAATCCTTCAGCATGTACTGATTGTCATTGCTGTGTGCTGTGGAGTCTGTCGTCCCTATTGACCTGATGCTCTTAATCATAAAGCTAATACAGAACTTGGTCTTTTTTACTGCCAGCAGTATGCTTCAGGGAGAAGATGTGCAGCTCCTAGTTGGTACATTTTTGAGGCAACGGGGAGTGTGTTGAAATGGCTGTAATGTTTCTTACTACAGTTGTTTATGTAGGACTGGAAGAGGGGAAAGACAGAGCAGTGGTGTGTGCTTCAAATATTTGACCTCTGTAACTAGTTGTAAACATTATAGCTTCCCCTTCCATTTTTTAAAGTTCATTTTTATTGCTGGGAAAGCACTGATGTGCTCCAGGTAGTGGGAAGAATAATCACAAACTTCTTCAGAAAAATCTGTCAGTTTACTCAGTTCTGTTCCCTTTGTCTCCCTCCTCACTCCCAAATGGGTGGCCACATTTTGTTGTGACAAGTTTAAGAAAGAAATGAAGGACCTGTAATGTCATGTTCGCATTCCTTAAACAGAGACTGTCCCAAGGTATCCTGGCACAGATTGAGGAGTGTGGGGGAATCTGCTCTTCCATTTAAGATACCTCAGATCTGAGGGGAGCTAGCCCTTATAAAAAGCAGTTCATTAAAAAGCAAGAAGTTAAGACAAAGTGACTATATAGGACATATAGAAAGACAGTGTATTGTCCTCTACACTTGAGAGGGGATTTAACACCTTTTTCTTTAGTGGTGACATGTGACAGCAAGATCACTCTCATGTAGCTGGAACAACTTACTCTAACATTCCATTTTGTGTTTTAAATGCTTGTTCTGCCGTGTTCTACAGGTCAGTGCTGAGACTCTCACCCTCGCTCTACAACATCATTTAGCTGTTGCTGTTAAAGCCAGCACTTCTCCCTGGCCTGGCAGGGCCGATGTGTGTCAATTCCTTGTCTGGATAAGATTAATACTTTATTTAAGTTGCTGTGAGTAGAAGTCTGAACATCGGTTAGATACAGATTGTGTATGAGAATGAGTGGGTTTGTTGTAAAATTTCTTTTTGTTTGTTGGTTTGTGGGTTTTTTTGTTTGTTTTTTTTTTTTTTTTTTTTTTTAACTGTAGTATTAACAATGCTAGATGTGAGATCCGTCTTGGTGTTATACAGCATTACTTTGTCACTCATTTTGGAAAAGAGGGTCGCAGCTGGTGCTGCAGAGCTCAACTTGACAGTTCTCAGGAACTTTAAGTAGCTAAACAATAATTAAGTTGAAGAAAACATGAGAGAACAATTTTAGTAAAAGAAAGAGGGAGGGGTTGTGGCTTATTCAGATTCTTGATTATCTTTTTCCCTAAGCTATCAGACAGAGTAGCATTTCATCTGAAGCGCAGACCAAGCCTTGACTCACTAAAATAAGTGGTTAATAATAATTGCTTCCAAATAAAGTTGCTTACAAAAACTAAAAAAATAATGGCTGAAATAAACCCTGTGAGCAAATACTCCATGGATAATACTGATCATTAATACTGAAGAGCAGAGACAAGACCAAGCAGAGTTGTTTTTTTCCTGAGGGCTCTCTGGATCTGCTGCAGTCCTGGCTTGAAATTCGATACAACTGTTTTTTCCCCTCATCTTGCCAAGCTCAGTGGAATCTCGTTCAGTTATTCCACTTGGCCAGACGGTCTAGTATACTAGTGCCATGCTTTTGAGATCATTACCTTTCTTTTGTTATCTTTTTAAAATTATTACTCTTCTCTTTGGTAACTGTGCTAAGTGCATTTTTATCTTACTACTATCACATTCTTCTTAGATTATGGGAAGGGAAATAATTTATCACATCTTCCCATTTAATTTTGACTTGCTACTACCTTACTCCCTAAACAATCAAGTTTAATTTTTATTTATATGTATATGTAAAATAAATAGTACAAGAAAATTGTTTGGAAATAAAAAAGTACAGTAGAATATGACCACTTTTTTACTAGCTAGAAAAAAAAGGAGGAAAATATGGGGTGGAAAATTTGGGGAAAATATGTAAACTTCTGGGTTGGAATCAGTAATGTAATGACAATCTGGATAAGAAAAATATGCCCTGAATTAGTATTTTCTTCTATAAAGAATACTGAAGATACAGAAACCTATTCAATATTTAGCATTTGAATTCAGGCAGAAATTGTCTGGCTCTCCACTTGAGGAAAAAGTAATAACTGCAAAAAGTAAAATGTTGAGAGCCATGAGAACAGTGTATTTCAACAATAGCTTGAAAAGTGTTTGTTGGGGAAGTTGATCATATGAGTGAGTTTAGTCAGCCACTGATAAGAACATATTTGTGAAATCTGAAAGTCTCATTTCAAGTTCCATCACAATCTTGTGAAATAGGTCTGACGCTATTTTGGGATAGAGGGAGGAATATATTCAGAATACTCATTACTTACTACCAGTTCTTTAAAATCCGGATTAATGTTGCATTAACTGTAAAGCATATGTTATTTGGTCAGATCTGTTCTAACATTACTTAGTAATACAGTTTAATACAACTGGAAAAGAGTATTGAATCTCCTGTGACGATATTCAGTATTGCAAATGCTCCGTGGATGTTGAACTCATCCTCAAACTAACAAGGAAGTGGAAAAAACTTTTCACACACTATTTTAGTATGTTTGCCTAAAGGAATTTCTAGATAATCTTTCATTTATCAGAACAATATTGATACATTGAAGTGAATTGTTTAATGTAACGGTTTCTTTAGCTTCAGGATAGTTGCAGAATGCAGCTGATGAGGGGTAATGTTAGGAAAAATGGGCATGTAACCAGAGAAGGGGAAGGTCTTTCCTTCCATCTTTTGAAACAGTGTGTTTGGAACATCTGTTTCCTACTGTTTTGTTTAAACCAGTGTGTTTTCAGTACCAGTGTATTTTGCTTAGTTTAACTGAAGTATTAGTATAACAGGTAAGTGCATATTTAGATTATAATTTAAAATATTTGAAAAATGAATTACACGGAATATTGTTCAAATAGTCTTTTCATTTTTTACTTTTTTCTTTTTTTTTTTTCCCCCCTAGGTCTTCTAACATTTATAAATTGTGCCTATGTTAAATGGGGAACACGGGTGCAGGATATATTTACTTATGCTAAAGTCACTGCTCTTATTGTCATCATCATAACTGGAATTGTTAAAATATGCCAGGGTAAGCTTATAAAATTAAAGCAAAGGTTTGTATTTATCCGTTAAACTGAGTAATTGGGTTAAATACTGTAAAATACCTCTGTGTGTGTTATCACGTGCCTCGGTACAAGCCTAATATAGTCACTTGGAAAACACCAATAACACCAGTGTTAGGCCTTATCATATTAGATCCTGAGAAGCTATCCTATCTCAGTTGACTTTGAACTGGGTAAAAGAAAGTAACTGATTTCTCAGCAATGTTGCGCAACTTACAGCCTGCAGTATGGAATAATAAAGGAAATGAAAACAGCAAAATAGAGAGCTAGCAAAATACAGTGGGAGTGGAGAAAGCTGTAAATTTCTGTAAGGAACATACTGCTTTACAGTGAGATCAACTGAATATTTTTTTACAAAATGAATGTTGTGCAAGTCACTGAACTTAAAGTAAAAATAGATTTGTAAGAACATGTAAGTAGATTTATGAAACAGCAGCTCTTTTTTTTCTCAAATCCTGAGTTCTTTTATAGCTGTTGGGAATTAGAATGTTGATGGGGTTTTGGATGGTGGTTTTTTTTTTTAAATTCGTGTATGTATTGGGCATTGTGCCTTCAACTTAGAGAAATTCGGACCTTAGTTTTGTTCTTTTCCATTCCTTTAGGGAGAATTTATTGGTGTGTTAGCTTAAAAAAAACTACCCTACTTTCAAACATGCCATGAAGGTCTTTCCCTGGCAGTCTGGCAATTTGTGTCCTTTGCTCTAACCGGTTATTGTTGAAAGTCCATGAGCAAGGTGATTATTGTGAATGGGACAAGAGTATGCATATGTGACCACCGTGCTGGATTGTTTAATCCTTAGCACATCTGCCCATCCCTTGTTCTGTAGATACAGAGCTTGCTCACTGCTAACTGCCTTGACATTGTCTCCCTTCTCGCAAAGTAACTCTGCATTTACTTTGCCTGTATCTGTGCCAAGGGAATAGCAATGTCTGGTTAGGATAAAAAAGAGAAAGAAGTAAGGATATTTTGGAGGCCTCAAATATTTGCCAGGCCAGTTTTGATGAAGTCTAAAAGTTTCAGGATGCGTAGTGCAGAGCAGGTTTTGGAGTTACATAGTTACTCACCTTTCTGTATTTGGTGTTTGTGTGTGTGTGTCTATATATGTAAAATAGTCTGAATATTGAAAACTGCCATTGAGCTTTTCTTGACTTGCTTAAAGTCAAAAGATGGCACAAGTTGTCACAAATACCAGTGCAAAAAAAAATTACACTTTTTCTTTTGCCTTGGGAAAATTTTACTTCAAGTAAAATAGTTTTTTATATTCTGTTAACTGTTCTCAGTTTTCTGTTTTTAACATCTAAAACCTAAACATCCATTTAGGTGGGTTGGGGTTTTTTTGTCGTAGTTATCTAAAATCAACATTGTTTTCTGTAGGCTATGTTTTCTATGTAGACTAAATGACTGAAAATTTAAAAGGATACAGGAGTATAGAGTGGATTATTTTATAAACATATATGTTATAAGAGGTACCCTTAGCCTGAGTGCTGTCATTGCCAGTTGTTTGTAGCTTAGTCTGAACTTAATGTTCCTGAACGTTTTGTGCCATTGTGGACAAACTAGGTGTTTAATTATAGAACAGTATCATCCACAGAGCATAGTTTTTAGTAGTTTAAATGCCATGCTTATTCTCATGGCTGAATCACAGAGCAGAATTGGAAAAAGGGCTTAATAAGCAGCTTTGAAGGAATTATGGTTTTTGAGGTTTTTTGTATTTGCGTGCCAAATTGAAAAAAATGACTTGCTGTGTTTTATGATCCTGTACTTTGTGTCTCTTCCACATACAGGACATACATCGCACTTTGAGAATTCTTTTGAGGGATCCTCTTTTGATATCGGAGACATTTCCCTCGCACTCTATTCTGCCTTGTTCTCTTACTCTGGTTGGGATACCCTCAATTTTGTAACGGAAGAGATCAAAAACCCAGAAAGGTAAATGATACGAGCTTTATGAACCTGCATGGTTACCAAGTTGTTAATTTTGTGGCTTTCATTAATGAGTTCTGAGCGTATGCAGAAATGAGTAGAGCTGCTCTATGCTTAGGTGGCAAGGCTGTGAACAACCACCAGGAAAAATTTACTAGTTCTAAACTACATTAGAAATTAAAAAAAACCCCAAACCAGTAAGTTGGAGAATTGCAGAATGCTGTATTCTAGTGCTTGATGAGCTTTCAGTACAAGATGTTGCTGCTATTAATTACACAGCAGTTCCATAAGTGTAGTCTGTGCTGTGTTTATCTGTGCAATAATTCTGATTTAATATTTAAGAGTTATCCTTTCCATGAATTTATGCTCTAAAAATGTGACTGAATTAACTAATATTGTCCAGTTGTGAGTCTGTAAGCAGACACCTTTTATGTTAAAAGTAGAATCCCATTTGATGATTTTTACTTCCTATTATAAGCAACAGTTCAGATTGCTACAACTGAAAGAATGGAAGAAATATTTTTTTTAAATTCTCCCAACTGATTTTGACTTTTGCAATTTGTTCTGCTATCCCCAAGTTCTATCCTGTGCATTTATTTAACCAGTTATCAATTAAAAAGATAAAATAGCAGATAAGTATTTTAACTCTAAAAATAGCTATTTTTAGTCAGACTGAATCTCAAGTTGACAGCGTTTCCTTAAATTGTCCTGCAAAGATTTGCTGTCTGTATTCAGAAGAGACCTATGTTCTGTGTTTGCATCAGTCATTTGGTCCTTCAAATTGTGGGGTTTTTTTCTGCTGAAAGAGCTCCCCTTTTGAGTGCTGTTGCAGTGCCTTTTCATCTTTTTAAAGTTACTGTATTGTTTTGTGTTACCAGTTGGATAACTCTTGTATTAGATGTACTGTTTTGAAAAATTATTTTTCTCACAGGATATTTAGCTGATGAAAATTTCTTTAGATTCATTTGCTATTTATAGGCATCAGTGCCTAATACAAGCTTTGTTCTTGGTAACAGCTGTAGGTGATAAAGTGAACTTCAAATTTCAGCTTTCTACATTGACAGTTCTTGGGAATAATGAGATGTTCCAGACATATATAAAATTACGTGAAGAATTTTTCATATTCACTTGATTCATAGTCCCCTCATGCTTATCCAGTCAAAAGCTGCAGTCCACAAGTTAAATTTGAAATAGTCCCTTGGCTTTAATCTTGGGAGATGCAAAGTCCTGAAAATGCCATTTGATTTTTTTTTGTTACATTACATGACATTTCTGAATTAATTTCTAAGAGGTTTTTTAATTCTGTTTCTTCTGTGTGCTGAGGTTCACAGGTCTCTTCCTTTGAGTGTGCAACCTGGAAGCAGAGTCAGAACTCCCAGTTACTAATTTACTCATTTATATGGGAAGGTGTGGGGCATGTGGTGTGTGTTTGTTTTTCTGCTTCCACAGCATCAGACAGACCCAGTTGGAGTTCTGGGCCTCAGGAAATTTTTGAGGAAACTTCCAAAGTGCGTTTCATATTTCTGGGGTTTTTTGTTTGTTTGTTTAGTTGGTTTTTGTTGGTTTTTTGTGGTTATTGAAAATCACGTTCATGCCAAATACTTATCCATGTCACCATGCCGCGTTTCATTTCAAACTGGGCAAATGAGAGAGTAACACTCTCTGTTCTGCTTTCCCTTTTGAGACATTTAAAATCCCTGCAAGCTTTGGGGAAACAATAAAGCTGAGAAAAGCCAAAGCTTTAAATTACAAGTTTGCTTCTGCTTCTGCTCTGCAGTTTCTCTCTGTGGAGCTGCAGACTGAGGGCTGTGAGTTTATCTCGGCTTTAAATTAAATCTTATCTGTTTACATCTAGAGGTTTGCAGTGTTTTCATGTTGCTCTAGACTTCTTTTGTATTGCTTCCTAGACATGTGTTTGCTAGTAAGATACACCACATCCTGAGAGTCACAGCTGTGTAGCAATTTTGGATCTGCCCTCTGCATCTCTACGTTCTGCAGTTGCACAGCCCAATTAGTTTGTTCTCTGCAGTGATGGGTGCAGATGAGAAGATCAGGGGTTTGGTTTGGTTTGCTTTAGTGGATCTCCCTGCATCACTTCTAGAAGTAGGTGCTAGAAAAACAGCAGCATTCCCCAGGGAGAATGAGCACAGCGACTCACAGCTCTGTCCCTTTGGGTTCTCATTGTGGTAATTAACATGGCCGGTAGGAAATAATTTAAAATGTGTAGTTTGAAGGCTATTATTGCAGATCTGGAAACCCTGAAGTTAGGATGGTTGAAGAGCTGTTGCATAGAATCCCTTTTAACACATAATTTGGGTTTTAAGTAACTGCAAATAGTTCTGCTTTTTCAGTATTCTATATTAGAATTTCTAGTTTCAAAATAAACCAAACTTTATTCCAGAGATACCTACTTTGAAATCTTTATTCTGTCTTCCTACCTTTTATCTCTAAGGTAAAGGATGCAAATAAATAAATTTATTCTCATAATGGATTTTTTTTTCCTGGGTTGTGGGGTTTGGATTTTTTTTTTATCTTACAGGAACTTGCCACTGGCTATTGCAGTGTCTATGCCAATTGTGACTGTTATCTACATTATGACCAATATAGCTTATTATACAGTGCTGGATGTCAAAGACGTTCTTTCTAGTGATGCTGTGGCAGTGGTAAGTTGATCATTTGGCATTTTGCTATATTATTAACTTTTCACCTTTTAGGGATGCATTTCAAGGAACAAAATAAGAAAAATCGCCAGTTTATTACAGTACTTCACTGAATACAGGAGAACAGAACAACTCATTGTGAATAATTTAATCTTAAATAGACAAGCAGTTAATGAAATAACATAATATTTTATCAGATTTATTAAAGCAAGCATAGATACACCTTGTTAATGTATTTTGCAAAGACGCTAATTAGACTTGTGCACTTAGAGCTGATTGTAAATTAGACTCATTAGTACATAATTGTCTTCTCTGTTCCTTCGTGCTGCAGGTACGCAGAACAGTGTTGCACGGATCTACATTCTCTTGAGTTAATAATTGGTGCTATGCGTATCTGTAAATTAATGTGTTGCAGCTCAGCTATGATGAAGTTTAGCTTTCTGTCTCCTTTTTAATAACAGAAATCACTGTCTTCCCAACATTGTATTAATCCCAACAACTTTTACTATTCTGAAATTAATTATTTTTGTATATGGTTGGAATTTTGAATCCAATTATAATATATAAGCTTCTTAAAGCTGGTCAAAACATCTTTTATACTTAAAGCTAATCATTAAACAAAAGTGAAGGGGTTTTTTTTGCCCTGTAGCTAGTTAATTAATTGGATAGTTCTGGTTGCTATATCCTCTAGACCTGGAAAATTTAATCTTCTTTTTGGTTATTTAAATTGGAGGAAAAGAAATAGCTTTCCTCCCTTTTAGATTCCCAGTTGGCTTCTAAAATTTAAGTAGTTAGACAATGGACAGACATTTTTAAATACATCAAAATGAAGGAAGTAGTTGCTCTGTTCCCACAGAGGATTACTATGATTAAAAACTGGCTTAGCAAATCAGCAGACCCTTGTTCCACGTATTTAGACAGATGGTTCCGCAAAAGCGCTTACTTGGCTTTCTTTGAAACTTGATAAATATTTATATTTAATGTAAGTTTTCAAAATAGTTTATAGTGAATGTGGGCTGTCACTTGCTTCTTCAAATGTAATTATGCAGATGTTTATTTCAAAATGTATTAAAAGTATGTAAACTTTAATTCTTTGCCTCTTTTTAGCTGGAGTATGGAAATACAAAGTTGTCACAAAATATGTCGTGAAAAACTTGTTAAAACTCTTCAGAATGAAACAAAACAAGACCACAACAGAAAATATTTAATTTTGAATCAGCATATGCTAAGGGATAATAAAATCTCCAGGAATATTTATTTATGTTGTAGGCTATGGTATCCCGTGTAAACTACCTTCCAGTGACTGATAATGAAATTTTTAATTCTTATCTAGAATTAATGAATCCAGACAAAACTAAAAGCCAATACACTGTCTACTGTCTGTCCTGACTTCCATAAAGGAACACACTATTTGTTTTTGCTAACAAAAACTTGGAAAATACACACCTGTAACAGCTATGAAATTCTCCAACCCAGCCTATCCCCTAAGAGTATTCCCTGCCTACTCTACTGCTCCTGGCCTTTGTTACGACAGAGGTTTATACAGCCATTGGGTGAATGGGATCAGGAGAACTGATCCACCCTGGGAGACTGGGGGAATGATTCACTGTGGGCCTCTCCAGTCTATGTTGCTGTATTCAGCAAGTGGTAGCACTGCAGCAGCAATGGGTGGCCAGATAAAGGGGGGACAACGGATGACTGAACCTTCCTACGCATGTGAAACCCAAGCCTAGATTTTTGTGATTTTTTTATACACTTCATTTAGTTGTTCTTTGACATTGTTCTTGACCAAAAGTGAGTATATATATTTCTCTCTGTGTGTGTATACATTTATGTATATACACATGCTGTGTAAATTTACATGAAATTGTAGTACTTGGATCTGGACAGATCAGGTCTTCCTCTCTAGTACAGGATGCATCTGAACATGGAGGAGAAAAAAAGGAAGACTTAAGAATGTTATTAAGTCCTTAGTCAATCTAATTGCATGCAGAGACATTGGGTGACCAGGATAAGAATGAAAAAATATGTTTGGAATTTCCAAAGTTATTAAGGGTTTTACTTCCTGTGCTAGTTTTAATGGAACTTAACCAAATTAATTTATTTGGAAGTCTAGAGCTGTGCCTCTTCACTAGATCTCAGGATTGACAAATATTTGGCACTTAAAAGTTTAACTAATGTTCTATCTAAAGGCATTTTTGCTGAGACAACTCATCAGCTGGCAAACAATGGTCTTCTGATTGCCAGTACTTACATCCCTGTTAGAATGACAAGGTAAAGTGCATCTGAAGTTTAATACTTAACACATGACTCATTCAAAATTCCTTTTCATTGCTGATATGAATTTAATTGCTCAGTTTTGTGAAACCACCTTTAAGCTTGATCTACTAATACATTAGCAAGTAGTGTGGACCTCTGAAAGGATGTCTGTAGAGTGGAACAGTTGACACTGAGGACCTGACATGCACACTATAAATACTTCAGGGGTATTTTACTTTGGACTGCCTGTAATGGGGTCCTGTGGACAGAATGCTTATGTGTGGTTGGATTGCAGTACAGCGGTGCTGCAGGTACGCTCTTGAAGTGCATCTTCCAATTTAGCCTGTTCTGAAAGGGAGGCTCCCTTTAGCTCTGATGCTAAACAATGTGAACCAAAAACTGCAAGTGGTAATAATTGAGAGAGTTGTTTCAAAAGTGCACTTGAGGTCCAAATTAAAACACTCACAATGCACCCGTAGTTTTCTAGTGAAAAGGGGAAAAAAAAGAGCTAATGACTGTAATGGGCTGTATTTGAAAACCCTCCTGTAATACAGAAAGGTAAAAATCTTCATGGTGAATTTTCTCTGGGTAGTGGAAGAGAATTTTATCCACAGTGGAATCTTTTAAGAAGACTTAGGGTGTTGTGGTCAGTGGATTAATGAAGAAAGGAGGTGAGAGTTAAGGCAATCCAAAAACTAATCTGATGAAAATGAGGCACTTTGATCTGCTCACATATTCTACATGCGATATATGGTACTGATTGCTGTCATTTTTGTACTGCCCTCTATGTAGTTGTAGGGTGAAAATTACGATAATGATTTTTAAAGAAATATGGTAGTTATTGCTGCATTTTAGAGCCCTTTGTGTAGTAAAGCAGCAGTTAAATTTAATCTTTCCTTGTTGCTATTTTGGGAAGGAATGGAGTAGCTTTTTCCTATTCATTTCAGTCAAGAGGCTTTGTGCTGGGAAGGGGTGGGATGGGGCAGGGGGGGAAGCTGTTTCCAGTTTCTAAATGGTGAGAGTAAATGTTCCAAGCAGAAGAAATACTACTAGTAGGGTATCTTTGCACATCTTCTTGCATACTGTTTTTCTTGGTGACTGGGAGGTGACAGAAATTTTACCAAGAGATGTTATGGAACAAAATGATAAAATATCTTTCTTCAGTTATTAGCTTTATTGTGGTATAGTCCCAGTGTCGGGGCTAAGAAACTCTTTTTTTAAGCTCTTTTTTGTTGAAGTAAACTAAGTATTACAGCAACAGCTAGCTTAGAAGTTCTCCAAATGCTCTTCAGACAGTTGCCTATCATATAAAAATCCCTTCCTTTTTTCAGATTCCTGTCAGAGAGTTTCACAGTTGACTTCTGGTTTACCTCCTTATGCAAACCATCACAACCCTTACTGTTAAGTTTTATGTGTATGAAGCAGTTACTCTGTAGCACAAATACACTTAAATAAACAAAAGCAGAAATTTTATCTCCCGTTCCCCTGTCACTGAACAACTATTAGTTTGCATCTGAGAGAGCCGTTGTATTTCTTTGTTTGTGAAGAGGGCAGCTGGCTCCACAAGCACTTTTTGGGCTGCTTCGTCTTCTAACAGGAAAGAACATACTGGCTGCCAGTGCATAGCTTGTTACCTGCTTCCTGTGTGTGCTCATGTCTGGTGTTTTGATTGAGTTCATATAATAGGTGATATTTGGCAACATACTTCTTTTACATGGAAAAACTAAAATGATTCCTGGTTAAAGCAGACAGTTGGTTGTCCTGCATAGCCAGCTGTCATTGGAGCTGTACAACTCTATCTGTAGATTGGGGATAAAGATGACGACTGCAGTTGCATCTTTGAATACCATCTTGCGAGTCCAGCATTGATCAATCCAATTTACCCTGGTCTACTCATCTTCTAGAGCAGACCTGCTTTGCTTTGACGTAGCCGAGCCTTCAATGAAACAGGAATGTGGGAGACTGTGTGTTTTTAGCCATTTTGCTCTTCTTTGGTGTATAGTTTAACAAACAGTGCGTCTTTTTCTTCTAACTGAATTCCGCCACATATTCCTAAGTTACTCTTAGACCTTTTGGGTGTTACTTCTCTTTCTTCACTTGGCCAGTCACTGGCTTCTCTTCTGAAAAGGAAAATCTGCTTGTCTTTGGCTGCCAGTGTCATATCCACCTTCTTTGCTTGCACTGGCACCTCCCAGTAAGTTTCCTTTGGATGAAATGCATGTTCTGTATCTTACAGGGGAAGAACTCTTCATTAGGGACATTAGGGACTCTTTTAGAATAGAGCTGTTTAAGAAGTCATTTGCTTGCTTTCTGGAGTTGGCTGTAATTCACTACCAGTGCAGCACTCCTCTTGCCAGTTATGTAGAAGTTCTCTGGCTTTGGAGGCAAAGCTGAAAAGTTGAGCCAGAACTTGAAAGAGTGCTACATAATATTTTCAATATGAGAAAGGTAAGAGACTTTGGCAAATAGTGAACCCTTATTCTACAGCTAGCTATTAAAAATGCCAAGAACAGGATAAACATCAAGTATCTTCAGCACCTCCATGAAGACAAATGAAACTGTTTACTGTTGGAGCTGGCATCTGTAATCTTGATGTGGGCCAAGCAGAAGAGACATGTTACATGCAGTAGACATGCTATTAGTGCAGTAGAGTAGTGCTGGTTTCTCTTACCGTATGATTGTATTAAGTGACCTAAAAGTGAAGAGAGAAATTCATGCTGGACCTTGCAATGCAGTGGTACCTT